CAGATGTTCTAATCTCATTTCCCAGAAATGCCCTCCAGCATGCATGTACATGCAGGCTATGGGCTTCTTCACTTTTCCCTTTTCAGAGATCCTTAAAGGCTTTCTAACGCCCATCCACTATGACAATTAACCTATTTCTCTCTCTCTCTCTCTCTCTCTCTCTCTCTCTTTCTCTCTCTCTCTCTCTCTCTCTCTTTCTCTCCTCTCCTACTTCCAAAACATTTTAAAATTCTATATGGTTTCCCATTAACTATTGAGAAAATTTCCTCCCTCTTACACTACATTGCACATTTCTTGAAAAAATGAGATTTATGCTCAACTCTTTAGTCCCACTAGTACCTAACACACTGCTTACCATCTAATTGGTCCTTCCAAATATCAGGGAGTTGAACTGAAAATACCAAAGGCCTTATACTCAAGTTACAGACTAAGTATAATAGACACGAAACAGTAGTAGGCAGTGCAGATGCAAATTTAAAGGCAAGACCATGGTGAAATTAAGTATTCAAGAACAAATTCAAGGAAAACTTTAGGAACAACTACAAAACAGGCAGATGTTATGAGAAAAGTTAAGGAAAAGAACAAATGCAACACAGAAGCAGATGCACACTGCTTGGGGCAAGTAAAATGCCTAGTAACCTGGACAGGTAAGAACTAAAGTAGCCTTTAGAAAAACAGAAGCAAAGCATGTCACTACATCCTCGGTAGAAAGCTAAGGGTCACTTCACACAGCACTTCACAGACGCTTGAATTCAAGCTTTTGAAAGCAGAGTATAGATGTGGACAGTTATTTCAGAACAGATGCCCAACCTGCAGACTTTAGCCTTTCCTAAGCTGAAACCCATTCAAAGCCTCTGAAATATGTCCCTTGGCTGTTTTAGTCTCCAAATTTTAATTTTCCTGCAAGAATATAACTAAGCCACTTTGAACCTTACTATGTGCACAGTCATGTTTATAGGGTTTCAGCAACTCCCTTCCAAAGACTTAGAAAGATATTTGAGTGATTCAAATGTCCCCCAGATCTAGAACTGTCAGCTCACGTGGCAGAAGGTTCAGGTAGCTGAGGATTCATTTTGCTTATTGGCTCTTCTGGGGAGTAAATGAGGTTCTTATCACTGTGTCACCTATTGCAATCCTAGCTACATCCACTAGTTACCGGGGTCTTCATCCACCTGAAGCTGAACATCTTTCTGAACCTGCAATCCTGAGATGACTAACTCTGCTGAATTACAATCATGCCTCATTCTTGCTTGTTTTGTTTCTGTGTTCTTTATTTTGCTCAGCGTCAGGACCTAGTATAACTACCCTTAGAGATTTGTTCAACCAAACAATGATTATAATCATCAGTATTTGAGCTCTTTGCAAACTTCTCACTGATGATTCTTATAAATCTGCTGTTTGTTCTCACGAGTCTGGAGTTTATATCCTCAGTGTAACTGTCTCGTCTGATCTCCGGATTGACATGTCCCTGGAAAATTGCTCCATTTCGCCTGTACATCTCACATGCATCCTAAACATGAGGCATCCAAAGCCCACCTCTTCAGCTTCTTCCTAAACTTTTTTCAACCACTTATCTCCACAAATGATTCCAACATCTACCATGTTTTCAAGAAAGTAATCAACATGAATCTTTCCTCCATTCAAATCTCATAGCTGCTTCTTCAAGCTATTCACCCCCAGCAGGATTCTGTATCTGAGAGAAACAAATGGTGTGGCCTCATTTTCTCAAGACTGAAAATTGGTAACCATAGTTCACGGGAAAAATGAGGATGGAGACATTGAAAGTCCCAACCCTTGTTCTCTGCTTCAGTTTTTCCTTGCTGTACTCAGTTCCTCCTAGTCCCCATACCGTTACCATCTTCCATTACTACTCTGAGTCTTTTCATATACATTCCCTGAAAATGAAGTACAGAGAAAGGAAAAGCCACATAGCCTAGTCAGTGGTCACTTCACTGGAAAAAAATTCCTTTGTTTTTTGTGATCAGTTCTTTTTTTTAAGATTTATTTATTTTTATTAGCAAGTCAAATACACAGAAAGGAGGAGAGACAGAGAGGAAGATCCTCTGTCCAATCACTCACTCCACAAGTGGCCACAATGGCCGGAGCTGAGCCAATCCAAAGCCAGGAGCCAGGAGCCTCTTTCAGGTTCTCCCACAGGGTTCCCAAGGCTTTGGGTCATCCTCAACTGCTTTCCCAGGAAACAAACAGAGAGCTGGATGGGAAGCAGGGCCACTGGAAAACGAACTGGTATCCATATGGGATTCCAGCAAGGCAAGGACTTTAGCCACTAGGTTATGGCTCCAGGCCCATGATCAGTCCTTTTTTCAAAAATTTTATTATTATTATTTGCTTTGAGAGATACAGAGATGGGGAGTTGGCCCATAAGATATCTAAAAGAATACCAAATGCATTTCTAGAATCTGCTGATGGAAATTATTTTCCCAGCTTGAAAATTGCCACATATAAACTCTCAATGTGGAGTAAACAAAATCATAAATATGAATCCTTTTCAGCTAACAAACCAGTATTTAGTATCTCTCTCCTTTCCCTTTAGGCATCTATATGCCACAGTGTAGTTAGCTGCCCAGTGACAGACAAACACAAATGAAAGGTAACAGTTATAGTAAACAGAGTTCCTATGAGTCAAAAAGTGTTTCCCAGGGAGAGTTCAATGTGCTTCATACCACGCTGGAGTAATCAAATAGCCAACGTTTGGGGATTTTAAAAGCAAATAATAAAGGCAATGAGAATGAACATGTCTTATATGACCTCTGTCTAGAGTCAACTGTAGGGTAAAAAGGGATCTGAAAATTCATAATAATGAAAAGATCAGGGGAAGAGGCCATGAGGGTATATTTAGTTTGATGGTCCATTTGTCCCCCTATCAATACCCTTTAACACATACTGTTAACATAGTCCCTCTGAATCCTGATCCTTCAACCCATTACTATCCATGATGATCATCAGACCCATCTCAGCTAAGAAAAACGCTGGTTCTCTCTGATGATATGTATGATCAGAGAAATCCTCAGGTGGGTGAAAAATAGACAAATGGGAGATGAGGCAAATGTTATTCTGAAAGACAGTCAACCTCTTGTCTCAAGGACCAGATTAGATTTTGAAGGCTAAAAAAATATATAAATAAATTTTAAAAAGATTTTGAAGGCTGATGTAGCAACTCTAACCACCCAAGTGCTTTCATTCAATAGCTGAACAATTCTTTTTAAAAAGAGTGTGAGTGAGGCAGACATCTAGATGGATTCCCTTGGCCCTTGCTGATGGCCCTGAATATGTTGTATGTGTATGTTGTTA